GGCAGTGAAAAATGGGTGAGGCAAATATGCATGTATATTGCAATGTTTTGCATTAAAACATTCATGAAAAACGCAGAAGCATTTTCAAATGAACACTGAATTATAAATTCACACCAATATCCAACAAAATAAATCACCTCAGCGTCGACAAACACAAATTAACATGGGAAAACATGTGTAACTAGTAATTTACTCCCGTTCCTAACAAACATTATGAAAAATTGCCCTACAACCTGTTGGTTCAAGCCCTGGACATTTCTTTCTTCCTCCCAAAAAATGACAAGAAAAATGCAAATTTTTGACATACGCGCGCACGTGTAAACCGACATTATATGTTGCACTTCTGCGAAAGCTGTATACAGATATTTTGTAAACCATTATGAGTTGATTAATTTTAACAATTGAAATTCCAAGCAAGGCTACATTTAAGCGTTCCAGAGCAATGATTTCTTTCTATATGTTTGATTTTTGTTGTATGTGTGTGTGTGTGTGTGTGTGTGTGTGTGTGTGAGAGAGAGAGAGAGAGAGAGAGAGAGAGAGAGAGAAATCTCATCACGTCAGTGGACTAATTATCCAGCATATATTTTTTATCACAAAAATACGTATCCGCTACGCTATGACCCTAACCTTCGTCCCAACATTGTCACCCCGAATCATGAACAGCAGTGTGCCTGACGGTTGCTACGTCTAGTTAAACCGTGGAGACGGCTCCGCAATTCTTCTTTCTCGTGGGTGGACATTTTGAACGCCAACAATCACAGAGAAACAAGCGCCTTGTATTTTAAAAGACGGGGGAGTAAGACCAGGTTTTGTTCACAGACAGGTGACTTTGTACCGTCTACGTTTAAAGACACGAAGATAACAGACCGAATAAATGGGCCGGCTGAAAAGAAACGGGAGTTTTATTTCGTTCAAACGGGGCATTTATTTGTCTTAGTTGTTTGAACTGAACTCTATATTTCACTGGAGTATCATAAATTATGTGAAATTACTTGGCTCAGCTTCTACCTGACTCCGGTCGGAGGGTAAAAAAGGGACGCGTCCACGCTTGGCTACGACAGGTCGATCTGAAGGGCCTGGTGTGACAGGAATGGAAGTCCTCTAGAAACCGTAGTCTGTTTCCCATTACTTTGTACAGGTGACATACGTCCCATGTTCTAACTCCAATACCCCAATTAACTCTAACCTGTACTAATCATATGGAAGCCCGGACTTCCATTCCTCGGACTGCCATTCCTGTTACACCCGCACTAGATCCCTGACTCTCCTGAATATAATGATCCTTTCACAATACACATTGCCAATCATGTCGATGGTTCACGTCTTAGTTTTATTGTCTCATTCAGCTGTTATCGATCTTTTATACAACTTAACGAATGTAAGACGCGGAATGCACTAGATTTTGTCAGATGTATAATTTAATTAAAATGTTTGCTTGTTTTTCAGACTAAAAATAGCATAAAATGCAAATTTAAAATTCATATAATCTTTTTAATTGTTACTGGACCTGTCTGTGTTACTAGTGTAACTCTATTCTAACTTGTAGATGCAGTCAGTGTTGTTTGGCAGTTTCCTGAACAGTACCGGTAGGATACATGTCGTAACAGTAGAGGCGGATTTGATGACTGAAAATCACCATACCAGAAATATTACATTTGCTGTTAAGTTAAAATCGTTCTTAATTGTACATAAAAAAAGGTGTCCGGGCGTTAAATGGAATTAAAAAATATCATACTTACTGATTTCATAATTTTAGAATATTTGAAGCAAATGAAGCTTTTTGTTTTGAGATTAACAACCAGAAATGGAATCTTCCCGCGTGACATCTAAGATTACAAGAATATGTCACGACTTGGTAATTTTTGGGGCACGCTTTGTATGCAGATTATAAACTTCAAACGTTTTTTGTTTCATATTTTAGGCGAAATATTTCCTTTGTACTTGTCATATATAATAACGTCGAACGCCTCTTCCTATGAAAGGTGCGAAACAGTTGTTTAGATCTTGCAAAATAGTGAGCATTTATTCGTAAGCCACTGTTAGAGAACCCAGATGTTGGCTGCTTTAATGCTGCCATTGCAAAACGGGATAAAATGCCATCTTTGGGGTAGTACAGTTAGCAAATCCTGTCTCGACTTTGGGTCAGTTTGATCCCAGTACTGTCAATATAATAACAATTGTGATTAAAAAGGACGTGGTCCTCAACCTTTAAATCTGTCTGTGATAATTCACTTCGATTGACCCTATAATAGATTTTAATATTTCAATACTTTTTACCTAAAACACATACTGAAATTTTCTTAAAAGATGGCCAAGAACGTCATCAGAAACAATCTATACTAAATATGTTTAAAATCAATTTTATGAGTATAATACTAATTTTCCTATTTTTTTTCTAAAATTCAGACCGTTTTGTATTAAGAACAAAATGCATATGACGCTTCTAAAAGCACTGTGTTCTTCCTGTAACGAAGCCTGAATTTTATTTTACTAACATATGGGTATACATAATGTGCTTATAGCAACAAAATTGAATCGATAGAAAAAAAGAAAATAGAAAAAGAACAAAAAAAATAATAAAACGGTGAAGCAAAATGCACGAATTAACCAATTATTCGTAATAATCTTGCACAACTTTCTAGTAATACATGAAAAATGATTTTGATTTTGATAAAAAGAAATTAAAATTCTAATTTTAATTGTCCATGACTTATGCTGATGCAAAAGCAAAAATAAATCTTTAGGCATAATAATATAAGCGAATAAAAATGGTGGCAATGGACATTTAAATAAATTATGAAGTTATTTAGAAGTAATTCATATTATAAACTCAAAACATAAAATTTGCTTAAGTAACAAAAATTTGTAAATTTATTAAACCACTTTGGTGACGAGATGAAACCTTTTCAGTAAATAAACCAAAAATATAGTCAAAACGTTTTTTTTTTTCAATAATTTTATCCAATGATTCAATGATAATACCACAAAATGTAATACATATAAGAAAGACAGAAACAACCTAAACACATTTAAATGGAATTTTCGGAAATAAAACTTTGATTGAACCAAACAAATATTTTGTGCCATGCGTTTCCTGGTAATGAAAGTCTTTTGAATTTTTTCCAGATTATGAATGAAAGAAAAAAACTTCTTGAACATGATACGCTTTCCATTGTTTCAATACTCGGCATCCTGGTTTGGACAAGCTAAGGTGAAGCAAAACCCACAGCGAGGCGGTTTTGAAGAATCTTTTTAGTTTGCCCTCGTCTCGCTGACTCCCAACTCGTATACCGCAACACCACGCTAGAGAGAATCGGAAGACGAAGTACGGCGCGAGATTTATGGGGCCCAGTTCGAATGGCTTCATAAAGCCCTCGAAAGAAAGTTACTGCGTGTCTTAAAGCGTGTTTTATTATGTTAACTTATATTAGGCGCATCCTTCCGATGATGAAGATTTCTTAAAGAGGGGGTACGAAATTAGCCACCGGGTTTTAAAATACCTGGGAGGTGTGAAAAGTGATAAAAGTGCATCTTGGCTGGATTACAAGACTGATGATTAGGGGAAGTGAATTTTTATTGTTTCACGCCCCAATGAAACAAGTTTTATGGCTGACCAGCCAAAACCAGGCTACTGGGAGTTTGTTTAATATGTCCAACAGAGTGCAATTTGACAGTCGTTTGTGTGTGTCTTTTATTGCCTTTTATTGTCAATTCCTAGCCACTGTTCACATTATTGCCGACGAATTGTGATTTGATTTTGAATTTGGGAAATGTTAGGACAAGCAATGGATATTTAAAACTTGCATCTTACAACTGGCTTTTTTCTAGTTCACTTCTTCAACACGCATTATAAAATTCCAAACCTGTACATGTAAAGTCTAATGACTTATTTATTTATTTATTTATTTATTTATTTATTTATTGTTTTTTGTTTTTAATAGTTTTATCGAGGAGTAAAAACATCATTTTATTATTATGAACTTTTATGGTAGCTTATTATAAGACATTTATGTATTCTCCCGTTTTCTATTTATGTCTATAATTTTTCATATTTTTATACATAATTATTTCATTTTCTACCATTGAAATTCAACCCTCAAAATTTGTTCATTATAATAAGAACAATTTGCTATGCAATATTTCCTCGTCTTCGACCCCAAGTAAGCATTCGGAACTAAACACTATGAGTGAATGGAAAACAGAACAAGAAAATGAAGACACAATATGATAGAATAATTAATTAAACATGGCATAGCAAACGGAACATGCTACTTAGATTATTTCCTGAGTGAATGGAGAATCATCAACCGCGTGCGCTGAGGAATCCCAAAGCCACAAACATGACAAATAAAAAAAGGCACACAAGGTGCCCCCTCCCAATAAATTATACTGTCAATGTAGTGGTCAACATAGACTCATTGACAGCGACTCTTAGGATTTGATAACAACACGTCCACTTTTAGAGTAATAAACATTCAGGTCAACAGAGAGCAGAGATATGTAGGTTACGATGTACTGGTAGACATTTCTTTTCAATGGCCGTTTCCAATCAGGCACCTAAGGTTACTGCGACTTTTTTTTCTGTACAAATGTACAAGACGATATTTTAGGCAACACTTTTTGACCCGATTGGTCCTTAACAAGCTCGTACATGTATTTATTTGGGGGTGTGAGGATTTCTGACCTGTTGGTGGTTCATTTGTCACATAAAAGTATCCAGCCCTGTATCAGCTAATAAAAAGGATAGTAACGAAGAAATCAGGACTCAGGAGTGAAGTGACAGTATGCAATATCACGTGTACAATGTCTACAACTTTTTTCTTTTATTAAGGGCAGCTGGTCAATCAATTTCTTTCAATTATTATTCTGTAGTTTGAGAAACTGAATATAAGATCTGTAAGACAATGCAATGTGAAAGGTAGCACGAGTCAATTTAGAACTAAAATTCGGCTAATGCCAATCTACATAAAAAAAATCATTCTAATTCTACAAGTACTGACCTACAATGCCCATCCACGGGTAAAATGGGGTGGCTGAATATCCGTTGGGAGATATGGAACACGAGTTCATACCGGAGTTTTCCGTCCCGACCGAAGTTTGGTAGGCTGCGCTGACGGCTCTTTGTTCCGCCGCCGAGGCAGCCCAGGCCTTCGAAGCGTAGTTCTGTAGATCGTTCCCGTTCACCTCTCCTGGCTGGCCACGCGAACACGACGTGAGATTCAATGGGTTCCCGGGGGCAACTAGCCCTTCTGTAAGCCCTGACCCGCACCCCACGCTGCCCCCGGCTCCCCCTCCGGGTCCGTATTGCCCCGTGGGCATGCACTGGTAGGCAGAGCTCAGTCCATGGGGCATGCTCTGAGGAAACGTGTACCCTGACCCGGGCCCGGGGGTCTCGTAGCGCGAGGGGATCCCCCCATAGTTACACGCCATACTTGTCTGCATGGACTCACCATGGAGAGTTGACAAGAACGGGGAGGTATAGAAAGAGTTCATTCTCGGTGTTTGCGAAGCGTGCACCTGGCTTGTTCTACAGCATTGCTCACAGCTTCCGAGTGTTTTGTTTGGTGTCGTCCTTCCACGAGAGCTGAACTCCCCTGTTCTCTGGTTCTTCACTCTCACCCCCACGTGGTCGCCAGAACAGAGCTGGACCTTAAGCACAAACTTATCCGATTATAAACACACCGAGTTTCAGATCTCTAAGGCAAATGATTTGCATACAAACACTGCCTAGACAGCCAATTACGGCCTAGTTCCAATCTTGCCATTGCACGCTTAAATGAAAAAGGAATCCTTCCGCAGCACTATTTTTTTTTATCTTTTTCAAAGGACGTGGTTTTTCAGGGTAAAAGTTGTAAGTGCGTGGTTAAGTTCACGTTCGTTTTTCTCTTTGTGCCAATGGACTTTGGAAATGTTTGTGGTATTAATTTTTAACCGCTCACGTGATTAATTGTTCAATGTGCCTTTGGCAGTTTGCTGCAGTCAGGTAAATGTTCACATTTTTATTTTGAGCGACCAACTTGTGTCACACCGCTTTCAGTATAAGGAAATAAACATATCCAAAATACAGTTAATATGACGATTAGAATGGGGTCAAAACCAAATATTAATCTATGGGTAATTCCCCCTGTGAAGAAAAAATGGGTTAATTTCCTCATAAAAGGAGCACGACAGCTTACTCGAGCGTTTCTTTTATACAGGGAGAGCAAAGCGACAAATAACAGAGGAAGCGCACTTGACGTGTCAAAAGAGCGAGATATGTTTTTTTATATAAAAATGAGGTATGTGGATCATAAAAGGATGTAGACCTTGTAAAAATACGTAAGCCTCAAGCTATATTTAATTTGATTCTAAGTCACGCGCGTGAAAGAACGTGCGCGTGCGCGCGCGTGCGTGTGCGTACATGCATACGTAAAAGTAAATAGAAACCAATGCGTGTGAATAGCAAATTCTCATCAGTAACAGAAATACACCTTCAACGGATAATCGTCGTTTTATTTCAACCAAACAAAAAGCCCTTCCACAAGATGCATTTAATATAACTTTTCAATGTCCTCATTAGAGAAGAACTATGGATTCCTCCATGGTGACAGACGCAGAAGAACCCGACATGCGAAAAAACTATGATGTGTTTAAAAAAAACCCACAGTCACATCCCCACAGTTAATAAAGGAGACAATTCCCTTACAAAGCAACTGTCATCGCCGTGTCACCAAGAAGGAAAGGGAGGGTCTGCCACCTGTGACATGAATGACGATGCCACATTTTGATTGACTTCAACAGAATAGGTTATGGACACGAGTAAAGTGAAGACTGGGTCCGGATTATTAAAATGCTAATTTTGGGGCGCATGGCAGATTAATAGATTATAATATGAATTCACGCTATAGCAAATATGTGAAATATAATTGGGAATATTCTATTTGATTAAACTCGGTGTTTGGTTTCTTTGCTGGTGCGGTACCACGTACATTTAGACATAAAAAAACAATTTGTTCTAATAATAATTCACTCCCTCACAATTGAAAAATACAATTGACATATAGGCTCATATGCTGTTCATAATTTCTCCCCTGACCAATTATAAAATTTTGTTTTAGAAATTAAAACTTATTTTTGCTTAAAACCGGAAAATATGTCTTTATTATTATTATTATTATTATTATTATTATTATTATTATTATTATTATTATTATTCCACCATCACAGGAAACAGAAGCCTAACCCAATAATGCACATAAATTGTTATGGACATTTATATTCTATAGCAATAGGAAGTCGGAAGCGAGTAAATGCAACAAATTTTGAAAAGGATCTGAAATGAATTATGAGTCTAGTAACTTTGAAATTCTTCATACATTTACAGTATAGCTTGTGTTGTACACAATATCTTACTTCTTATATGTCCGTTCTGCATATGAAAACAATGCAAATAAGGCCAAGCAAAATGACACGCCATTACAATGCATGACTGTCAATTGAATCTAGTAACAAAAAGGTTATATGTTTATCATTTTTTAGCCTAGAAAGGGAGACACTAATGAAAACAATGCGCAGTGAATATAAACAAACATTCAAACATTCTCTCACGGCGATACTGTCATCACAGTTTGTAAATCGACCAACTGATTATCGATAAATCCTAGGAATAATCAATATTTTCGAATCATAGTTATGTCCGTATCAAATTTTGTCTCCTTGAGTCATCTTTATGTTGTTAATGCAATAATAATGGGAAAAATAATTGGAGACCGTTGTAAAGGTAAAAAACACGGCCTACTTTTTCAGAAAGAACCAAAAATATCATGTTCTTTTTGTTGTTATTAGAAAAAAAATCCCACATTAGTGGTCTTTAAAACACCTTAGCACCAACAAAATTAAAACTATTCAAACTTTAAATCATCATCTTTATCAAACGACTGTTAACATGAAAAATATAAATGTACTATATACAAATAAGTAGAAAAAAGAAGAAGATAAGGCTGCAACCGCCTTTGACAATAATGACAAAATGAAAGAAACCCCGTTATAAGCAAGAAAAGGCCCTGGTGATTACTCACGCGAACTGTGATTCGTTACCAAATAGTGTGTGTGTGTGTGTGTGTGTGTGTGTGTGTGTGTGTGCGCGTGTGTGTGTTAAATGCAAGAGCCCGGTTAGAGAAGAATATGCCAATGTCGTCACTCAGACGTTGATATGTTTGCGCGTGCGTTTGCCCAAACTTATGTGCGCGCTAGTATCGTGCATGCGCGGATATCGCGTTTTTGTATGTTGTGATATCTTTATTTTATTTATTAATTCATAAGTCGTTTCAAATAACCCCTTGGCGTTATGGTAATGGCATTATAAAATGATAACAAAGAAATATAAAAATATCTTAAGGGTAGAACGGGTTAAGCTCGATCATCTGAATGTTTATTTTCTTTTTTCTGCTTTTATTTGTTACATAACCCGTAATGATAAAACGAGCTCCTTAAAGTAAACAGATTGATTAAAAACAAATTCTAATACATCTCCCCGTTCAATTACTAACCATGCCAGTTAACCTCCCTGCATCAGATTCCTTTTGAGAACGCTTACCCTTGATTCGGTCGGTATTAAGAAAACATCCATCTTTCCGGGTTCTCTATTGTTTTGAACCCTTTCGATCCCCAATGGCCATTTATCTCTGGGAATTTCACCCATGAGACCACGACCTAATAATCTCTCGGAATCAAAGATGGTGACATATCAGAATGTGATTGCGCTATTTTTCCATCTTAATTGCCCTCCGATGATTTGGTTCAATTGTTTTTCAGACGCATATTTATACGGGATATGACATTGGCCAAGTTAATCATCCGACCCGTTTTAAGTTAGGAGGTAAAGGTTGGTAATTAATTTGATTGATTCCAGTGCAGGGGTTTTCCGTCAATATTTTTAATTTGGATTTTCCGAGCACTTACCAGAATAACATGCAGTGTGATGTTTCTACAAGAATACCTTTAAGATTTCAAATAATGTTTATGGCATTTTTTTATTACTGTTCTGCTTTTATCTTTTCTGCTTCTCTGTAACATTGTATTTCCTTTCTCTTTTCACATGTTCTATTTTTTTCTCTGTTTCTCCGTAACAGCATAGAAAAGAATATGTCCTATCTCTTAATTTTTCATTCTGTACAGTCAATGTTACGAAGAATAACTTTTATGACAGCTTCTTTAATATTGAGCTAACAAATAAACTTATCATGCAGGATCCTCTTTTCGAAACGCTACTAAAAACTTTATGGAGGAAGAGACAGATATAAACATACAGACATATTAGAACACCATCTGGTGTCACCCTATGTCAGTATCTTCATAAAACAGAGGCTATTGATAGCTCTGTTTCGATGTCGAAAAAAACCGCGTATAATATCAAAACCGTTAATCTATCATTGCCAAACATGTAAATGACTGACAGAAACGCCATGACAAATTAGTGGAGATAACGACTAACATTTTCGTCCTGTGTTTTCTGATCGGATCTCTGCGGCGATGCGTTATCACAGTGAAAACTTAAGTTGGCCTTAAAAGCGTCGGGATAGAAGCAACGTCATAAAGAAGACGTCTTAATTAAGTCAGCTCGGACTCGAGGGTGAAGTTCCCTATAAAACAAGGTTTCATGGTGTGCGGATTCCGCCTATCTAGACTTCTCTTCGGGTCTTTATAAATCAAACGATAAAGTGATCTACGCGACTTGGGCTTTTCGTCTGCCAGAGGAAACCGATCAAAGAAACATAAAATCAATCATTCAATTCCCACTCGTGTGGTACTTTTGCGAGGCGAGGAGGGGGGGGGGCGAAATTTACCGAGAATTGACCAGTAGTGTCGTGCTTGACCCTATTATTATATATACAATGTACATGTATATATTGTTAAATAGAACAATTGTGAAATAACTAAAACACAAAAGAGTATTTAAGGTAAATAAGAATGATCAGTAACTACAATGAATGGGTTGCCAAAACCTCTAAAATCATTTTGTTGTTGTTATTGTTTTCCAATTATGATTAAAATTGCTCTACATGTAGTTGTTGCTCCGGTAGAAAAGGACCAAGTTGACATCACATGTACCATAAATGTCATAATTAGTACTATGATGGCTGTCACTATTTTTATAACATTTCATATCTTCATATATCAATTTTATAAAGTTAAAAAGAAACATAGGATAAAGATTGATACCATCCCATTATACAAAACATTGGAATAATAATAATAATAATAATAATAATAATAATAATAATAATAATAATAATAATAATAAACTAGAGATGAGAATGGAAAACAGCCATGCGCAAGATGAAGACTACCTTTACAAAGCTATTGTTTATACACGGTATTTGTTTAACAGAGAAGTGGGAGATCAAACATTTAAATTAATCAAGAACTTAACTGATAAGATACCTTGTTAAATATCTGGTGGAGCAATACCGGCTCGGCTCACAAAAATATGTGTTCATTTCAACTCGGCACATTCCAGTAGGACTTTATATGGACGCACCGGATTGACCATATTCTACAATAGATAAACTAGAAAGCCGGGGTCTGAGAGCGACATTAACTTTCGTCCAGAGTCACGAAATCATGAGCGTAGATCTAACCCATCGTCCCGGAGAGAGCAGTAGCTTTGAACTCTAACTAACGAAACAAACGGCAACGTTGAACCATTACACAAATTACCCGATCAAAAGACAAGAAGTATCGCCATTTTACCCTCCGAACGACCCTCATAGAATTCGA